TACACCTACATGGAGACATCTCTCTAACCAGGATTTGGCAGATGTCTTCTATCACCCTAAAGGACCCTATTTATTCCAACAAGGAGAAAGGGTTGAAGACAACAGAAATAAAAAAGCTTAGAGATGATCTGCAGACATAAAAGGTCATGTACAGGAAATGGAAGGCAGGCCGGGCAACAAAGGCCTTAAGGATACAGGCAGGTAGCATGGAATCGCAGGGATGGCAGCAAGAAAGCTAAACCTAGGAATGAACTAAAGCTAGCAAGGGATGCTAAAAGCGACAAAAAATGTTTTTCAGAGAACTCCAAAGTAAAAGACAGAGGAAAGAAATGGGGGTTCAACTACTCAGTGTAGATTGCAAAATGGTAACAGATAACAAAGAAAAGGCAGAAGGGCCTTTTCAATACCTACTTTGACTCAGTCTTCCCCCAAGAGAAGATCTATGACATTCCCGATGAAGGGGAAGTACAAGCTGGAGGAGGAGGGTGGCAGCTCAAGATTGGTCAAGGATCATCTAACTGAGCTGAATGTGTTCAAATCTCCAGGGCCTGACAAATTCCATCCTAGTATCTGGTGGATGCTGGTGCAGCTGGTGGAAAAACTCTCAGAACCTCAGTCTATTCTCTTTGAGAAACCATGGCGGATAGGGGAAATGCATTGCACTGGACCCAATTTAAGGTGTTGACAATGACTTATAAAGCCCTGAAAGGTTTAGGACCTGGTTATCTGAAGTAGTGTCTCCTCCCATATGTATTTGCCTACCCCCTAAGATCTGGGTCTGAGGTCCTTCTTCAGGAGCCCTCTTTGAAGGAAATCAGGAGTGTGGCTTTCCAGAGAAGGGTCTTCTCTGTGGTGGCACCCTGGCTTTGGAACATGCTCTCTAGAGAGGTGTGCCTGGCACCGACACTTTTTTCAATACAGCACCAGGCCAAAACCTTTATATTTCCCCAATATTTTAAGATGATATCCTGGTTGAGAAATGAAGAGTGTTGGGATACACCAAAACACTGTCCAATGGATTTGAGCATGGTTGACTGACCGAAAGTAGAGGGTAACCATTAGTGGGGAATCATTGGGATGGCGGCCAGTGACAAGCGGGGTCCCCCAGGGCTCTGTCCTGGGGCCGATGCTGTTTAGTCTTTTTATAAATGACATGAAAGAAGGGGTGCACAGTCTGCTGATCAAATTCGCAGATGATACTAAAACTGGAGCAGTGGCCACAACTGAGGAGCAGGTACTTCAGATCCAAAAGGATCTGGACAGACTATGGAAGTGGGCAGGAGACAACAGGATGGTGTTTGATGTGGACGAGTGCAAAGTCTTGCACGTGGGGCATAGGAATAGGTTTCATAAGTACAGGTTAGGGGACAAGTGGCTGGAGAGCAGCACTTGTGAAAGGGACCTCGGGGTGCTGGTTGACTGCAGGCTAAACATGAGTCAGCAGTGTGATGCAGTGGTCAAAAGGGCGAACACCACCCTTGGTCACATAGCCAGAAGTGTGGCTTCTAGATCGAGAGAGGTATTACTACCACTCTATACAACTCTGTTGCACCCGCAACTGGAGCATTGTGCTCAGTTTTGAGCCCCTCATTACAGAAAGGATATAGCCAGGTTAGAGTCAGTGCAGCGTAGGGCCACAAGGTTGGTGGCCGCTTTGCAGGTGATGCCATATGAGGCAAGACTGAGGGAACTGGGTCTCTTCTGCCTGGAGGACACTCAGAGGGGATATGTTGGCGACATACAGGTATGTGAGGGGATGTCACACGGAGATGGGTAGAGACCTGTTCTCCCCTGCAGAGGAACGCAGGACACGCTCCAGCGGAGCAAAGCTCAGGGAACCAAGGTTTCATTTAGATGCCAAGAAGCACTTCCTGACAGTTAGGACCCCGAGGGTATGGAATGGGCTTCCACAGGAGATGGTTGAGGCCCCATCGGTGCGGGTGTTCAAAGATAGGCTGGACATGCGCACAGTAGGCATGTCGTTAGCAGAGCCAGCTGGAGCCGGGGGTCAGACTACATGGCCCGGGAGGTCCCTTCCGACTCACTCTGGTTCTATGTTTCTTTGTTTAAGATCAGATTATTGTTTTAAAAATGGGTTATTTATTGTTTGATACTGTACTTTATTGTTGTATTAGCATCCTGAGACCCAGGTGAAGGATGGGATAGAAATGCTTTTAATAAATAAATAATAAATGCCAGATGACAGGAGATGGGCAGATGTTGTTCCTATCTTCAAGAAAGTAAAAAAAAAGATGAACCTAGAAACCAAAGACCAGCCATTCTGAAATTTATCCCTGGGAAAATTCTTGAGCAGAACAAAAAGCAGTCAGTCTGGAAACACTTTGAAAACAACGCAGTGATTACTAGAAGCCAACATGGATCTCTCAAGAAAAAATCCTGTCAGACTAATCTGACTTCATTTTTTGATTGGGTAACCTCCCTGATGGACATAATTTGACTTGACTTAAGCAAAACTGTTTACAAAGTGCCCCGTGATATCCTGATTCGCAAACTAGCCAAAAGTGGACTAGATGGAAAACGTACCAGGTGAACCTACAGTCAGCTACAGAATGGGACTCAAAGAGTGCTCATCATTGGCACCTTCTCAAACTGGAGAGAGATACCAAATAGGTACTGCAGGGTGCAGTCCTGGGCCCAGTGCTGTTCAACATTTTTATTAATGATTTGGATAAGGAATTGCAGGGAATGCTATCCGATTTGTAGATGACACAAACCTGAGTAGGATTAGCTAATACCCTGGAAGACAGAAAGAATATTCTAGGTGGTCTTGATAGGTAGGAGTGCTGGGCTGAAAAGAACAAAATGAAATTAAATAGGGGCAAGTGCCAAGTTCTGCACCTAGGAAAAAGAAGCCAAATGCATTGCTACAAAATGGGGAATACTTGGCTCAACAAGTGAGAAGGCTCTTGGAATTGTTGTAGCTCAACAAGCTGAACATGAGTCAACAAGGTGATACAGCTGCAAAAAGGGCAAATGCACTAATAGAAGACTGCATTGATAGAAGTATTGCTTCTAAATCCCATGAAGTGCTAGTTCCTCTTTACTCAGGACTGGCTAGGTCTCGTCTCGAGTACTACATCTAGTTCAGGCCACCACAGTTGAAGAAAGATGCAGATAAGCTGGAAAGGGTTCTAGGATGCTACAAGGACTGGAAACAAAGGCCAATGTGGACAGATTGAAAGCTCTGTTTAACCCGAAGAAGAGAAGACTGAGCAGAGATATGATAGCACTCTTCAAGTACTTGAAAGGCTGTCACAAGGAGGAAGACCAGGATCTCTTCTTGATCATCCCACACAGCAGGACAGGGAATAACAGATTCAAGTTAGAGGAAGTCAGGTTCAGGCTAAACATCAGAAAGAGCTTCCTGACTGTCATAGCAGAATGTCAATGGAACCAATTACTTAGAGATGTTGTGGGCTCTCCCACACCAGAAGCATTCAAGATGCACTTTGGACAGCCATTTGTGAAGGCTGGTTTCATTCGGAGTTCTGCACTGGGCTGGACCTGATGACCGCTTGGTCCCTTCCAACTCTACTAATCTATGATTCCGTGACTCAAAACGGCTTCCATAACATAACTTATATCTAACTTCTTAAAAAAACAAAGCTGTAAGACAACCAGCAGCATTTACTATTTGATCAGGTCACAGGGACAGTTGAAAAACCGCCATGTACATGCACGTGCAAGGCAGGCAACATGCCCCTGCCACCCCAAACAGATCTTTATGTTCTCGATGGCCAGGATGAAGGAGGAGGACGACACGTGCGTGCAGCAGATCCCCTGCATTTCTACGAACGAACAGCGAGAGACAGCAACAATTTGCCAGGGGCAGGGAACTGCGCCGCTGTTCGGGTGGTTTCAAACTTTACCTACAAGAAATCCGGACTTACCGCCTAGAAACTTCCCTGTTGCACAATCAGCCACGGGTCCCTATGGAGAGTTCTTGTAGGATCCCCGGATTCACCGTTGATGTAGATTTGGGGCAAACGCAACGTTGCAAGAAGCTCCCAGACGCCGTTGCGAGACGGAGAAGCGGCGCCGAGGCGAGATGGACTTGCCAACAGAACCCAACCGCGGAAACCGCCAGACCGCCCCGCTCCCCGCTCCGATGGCCGCAATCTTACCTTTCTCTTCGGCGGCCCCGTCTCGAGCACGCGACACCAGCGACACCTTCCCGAATCTTTTTCCGAGGCTGGAGATCACCTCCGATCATAGATAACGGAGAAAAATACTAGACTGCCTGAGTTTCCGGTAGAGTGGTGCTGATCATCCCTTGACGTCTCTATGGTCAAATCGCGTGTACTCATAGATTTACCAAAATTAAGAGTCACACACAGTTTAAAACATCCGGATTGAGGTTAGAGACCGTTTTGTTGTTTCTGTCTCGCCAGAGCAGAAGTTATGACTTGCGGTAGAAAATGATGGAGAAAATCCAGGCTATTAGAATGTTCGGAATTATGCAGTAGCGAGTCCTCCGATTTAGCAGCAAGGAAAGGGCTTCATGCTATTGATGTTACAGTTTTGGCTAGACATTTTGCTCTCCCATGTACTGTGAGCTTTGCGGGGGAAAGTAGTGCAGAAAATCACGGCCTTTTCACGACTACTCAAAAGTAATCTTCCCGAGTTCAATGATTCCCTGACTTATTCTCAGGTAAGTGGAATAAAGAACTTGGATCTTGGATCCGAAATGTCGAAACCAAATACCATAGCGAAGCGGCGGTGGGAGAAATCGAACGAGAAAATCTATATTTTCAACAGAGATACGTTAGTGACAAGTAAAAAACCTACTCTCGACAGGTGTACAAAGGAGCCTTGCGTCTATTGCAGGCACGTGCTTGCATGCGGCGGCTCAGAGCTCAACTCTGTAAGTTTAAACCCTAAAGAAAAAACTTTCCATTGCTCTCTCTGAACTTGCATAAGATGGTGCCTTAAGTATCTAAGAATTCCCGAACAATTCACATGCTAAAAAGTGTTTCAGGAAGGCTGGATTCCTGTCTTTCCTCCTGCTTTTGCGCGGGGGCGCGCGCGCGCGCGCCTTCGTGTGTGCAATCATTGCCACTGTGATCAGGGCTCGCTCAAGGGCGAAGCGGAAAGCGACCCGGTTGTGTAACGATAGACTCGCTCTACCCGTTACTATCTCTACGTCCCCATGAGCGACGACGGGAAGCTGTGCCCAAGAGGCGGGGCGCCTCTGCCTGAGAGCGGCGTTTGGTGCAGGGCCTGGTGCCCGGGAAAATTTTGCTTCGCGGAGGAGGCCAGAAACGAGGAGAGCCAGTGGGAGCAGAGCCCGAGCGCTGCCTCCGGATGTATGGTGCGGGGCGCCTTGGCCCGGGGTCGGCCTATATCTCCCGGCCAGCCGCAGGCGAAAGGTCCGCCAACTGTTGTTTCTCCTTTTTGTTTCATGAAGTGGAAGGGAGCGGTGGCAGCTCCCGAGCATAAGGTCAGATGCAAGGCATGTTTATTCAGTAGCAGCTCCTGTGGAGTTCAGTGAGAGTCTAGCCTAGTAAGGTTCTCAACCTCCAATTGAATTGTTGAGATGCAGGGAAATATGTCTGCATGTATGTGTGGACTCACCCTGAACACAGGTGAGGCTTTATTATTTTATCTGTTTGTAGTTTTAAAATGCCCTTCATGGATCACTGCCTTGTCGTGGCGAAGGGACTTGCGTAGCTCAATGAAGCTATGAGCTATGCCATGCAGGGCCACCCAAGACGGACAGGTCATAGCAGAGAGCTCTGACAAAACGTGATCCACTGGAGAAGGAAATGGCAACCTATTCCAGTATCTTTGCCATGAAAACCCCATGAACAGTACCAAAAAGAAAAAAGATATGACACCGGAAGATGAGCCCCTCAGGTTGGAAGGTGTCCGATATGCTACTGGGGAAGAGCAGAGGGCTAGTACTAGTAGTGCCAGAAAGAATGAAGCGACTGGGTCAAAGCCGAAAGGGCACTCAGTTGTGAATGTATCTGGTGGTGAAAGGAGAGTCCAATGCTGTAAAGATCTATACTCCATAGGAACCTGGAATGTAAGATCTATGAATCAAAGCAAGCTGGACGTGGTTAAACGAGATGACAAGACTGAACATCGACATCTTAGGAATCAGTGAACTAAAATGGACAGGAATGGGTGAATTCAATTCAGATGACCATCAGGTATACTACTGCGGGCAAGAATCCCTCAGAAGAAATGGAGTAGCCTTCATAGTCAATAAAAGAGTAGCAAAAACAGTACTGGGATACAATCTCCAAAATGACAGAATGTTCTCAGTTCGAATCCAAGGCAAGCCATTCAACATCACAGTAGTCTAAGTCTACGCCCCAACCACTGGTGCTGAAGAGGCTGAAGTTGACCGGTTGTATGAAGGCCTACAACACCTTCTAGAATTAACACCAAAAAATGATGTCCTTATCATCATGAGGGATTGGAATGCTAAAGTAGGAAGCCAAAAGATAACCGGAATAACAGGCAGCTTTGGCCTTGGAGTACAAAATGAAGCAGAGCACAGGGGGGTAGAATTTTGTCAAGAGAATACGATGGTCATAGCAAACACTCTTTTCCAACAACCCAAGAGACGACTCTACACATGGACATCACCAGACAGTCAACACAGACATCAGATTGACTATGTGCTCTGCAGCCAAAGATGGAGAAGCTCTATACAGTCAGTAAAAACAAGACCAGGAGCTGACTGTGGCTCAGATCATGAGCTTTGTGTTGCAAAATTTAGGCTTAAATGGAAGAAAGTAGGGAAAAACACTAGGCCACTCATGTATGACCTAAATCATATCCCTGATGAATATACAGTAGAGGTGACAAATAGATTTAAGGAATAAGATCTGATAGACAGAGTGCCTGAAGAACTATGGACGGAGGTTCACAACATTGTACAAGAGGTAGCAACTAAAATCATACCAAAGAAAAAGAAGTGTAAGAAAAAAAATGGCTGTCTGAGGAGGCTTTACAAATAGCTGAGGAAAAAGGGAAGCGCAAGGCAAGGGAGAAAGAGAAAGATACACCCAATTGAATGCAGAATTTCAGAGAATAACTAGAAGAGATAAGAAAGCCTTCTTAAATGAATGGTGCAAAGAAATAGAAGAAAACAATAGAATAGGGAGGACCAGAGATCTCTTCAAGAAAACTGGAGATATGAAGGGAACATTTCATGCAAAGATGGGCATGATAAAGGACCAAAATGGCAGGGACCTAACAGAGGCAGAAGGGATTAAGAAGAGGTGGCAAGATTACACAGAGGAACTATACAAGAAAGAGCTTAGCATCCCTGATAACCACGATGGGGTGGTCACTGACCTCAAGCCAGACATCCCGGAATGTGAAGTCATATGGGCCTTAGGAAGTCTGAGCAACAACAAAGCTGGTGGAGGAGACAGTATTCCAGCTGAGCTATTCAAAATCTTAAAAGACAATGCAGTAAAAGTGCTACACTCAATATGCCAGCGAATTTGGAAAACACAACAGTGGCCACAGCATTGGAAAAGGTCAGTTTACATTCCAATCCAAGGGCAATGCCAAAGAATGTTTAAACTACCTTACCATTGCACTCATTTCACATGCTATCAGAGTTATACTCAAAATCCTACAAGCTAGGCTCCAGCAGTTTGTGGACCGAGAACTATCAGAAGTACAGGCAAGATTAAGAAGAGGCAGAGGAACTAGAGTTCAAATTGCCAACATCCGCTGGTTCATGGAGAAAGCTAGGGTGTTCCAGAAAAACATCTACTTCTGCGTCATTGACTATGCTAAAGCCTTTGATTGTGTGGATCACAACAAATTGTGGCAAGTTCTTAAAGAGATGGGAGTATCAGACCATCTTATTTGTCTCTTGAGAAACCTATATGCGGGTCAAGAAGCAACAGTGAGAACTGGACACGGAACCCCTGACTGGTTCAAAATTGAGAAAGGAATTTGGCAAGGCTGTATACTGTAGCCCTGCCTATTTAACTTTATATGCAGAGCACATCATGAGAAAGGTGGGCCTAAATGAATCACCAGTTGGAATTAAGATTGCCAGGAGAAATATCAACAACCTCAGATATGCAGATGATACCACTCTAATGGCAGAAAGTAAAGAGGAACTAAAGAGCCTCTTGATGCAGGTGGAGAGTACAAAATTTGGCTTGAAACTCAACATTAAGAAAACTAAGATCATGTCATCCGGTCCTCTCACTTCCTGGCAAATAGATGGGGAAGAAATGGAAGTAGTGACAGATTGTATTTTCATGGGCTCCAAGATCACCGTGGACAGGGACTGCAGCCAAGAAATTAAAAGATGCTTGTTCCTGGGGAGGAAAGTTATGGCAAATTTAGACAGCATATTAAAAAGCAGAGACATCACCTTGCCAACAAACGTGCATATACTGAAGGCTATGGTTTTCCCAGTTGCAATGTATGGCTGCGAAAGCTGGACCATAAGGAAGGCTGAGTGCCAAAGGATTGAGGTCTTTGAAATGTGGTGCTGGCAGAGACTCCTGTGAGTACCTTGGACTGCAAGGCGATCAAACTGGTCAGTCCTAGAGGAGATTAACCCTGACTGCTCTTTAGAAGGCCAGATACTGAAGATGAAACTCAAATACTCTGGGCACCTAATGAGAAGGAAGGACTCCCTGGAGAAGAGGCTAATGCTGGGAACAATTGATGGAAAAAGAAAAAGGGGACGGCAGAGAATGAGGTGGCTAGATGGAGTCACTGAAGCAGTCGGCATGAGCTTAAGTGGATTCTGGGGGATGGTGGAGGACAGGAAGGCTTGGAGGAATGTTGTCCATGGGGTCGCGAAGGGTAGGACATGACTTTGCGACTAACAACAACAAGTTTTAAAATATCACTAGACACATGCTTATTTACTCTTATTGGTTTGCATATAAATATTAATGTAATTTTCAAAATATTAATATGACATTTAGAATACAGTTTTAAATCAATTCCAAAATAACAAGTAATACAGGTACAGAAAAAGGGAGCCGCCTCATTAACTTAATTACAGGAGAAGGAATGTCTAGGCAAACAAATACTTTTTCAGGAGACATTTGAAAGATCCGACATACTGTGCTTCCTGAAGTGAACAAGACAGTTTTCCAAAGGGTGGATGCCAGTAGTGCAAAAGCCTGCCATCAAGGTATCGGGCGACATTTACATAGCATGGGGTTGTAGTGGTGGGAAAGCTGCCTCAGCACAATTTCTTTAAATACAAGTACTGTCTTTTCGAAAAGCAAAATAGACTAGATCTTACCATAGCTGCTTAAAACCGAATACGTGTGGTACAACAAGGAAAAACCATGGAAAGAGAGAAGACGTGCTGGGCTACTCTCAAGATAGAGGAGCAGAGGCAGGAAGAACTATTGCTCAGGTTATCTGCTGGCCAGTTCTTGTACCATCCAATTCTGTGTATGTGCATTTGCAAATAAGTATCACTGTTTGCAGTGGTACTAACTTGTGAGCTCGTCTGCATAGGACTGTAGCCTTAGGCAATTTATATCTTTCTGGTCTCACTGCATCTCCGCTCCACCACCACCTTTCATTTCTGTCATTGTGTTGCACAAATGGTTGGTTGTTTGGTGCTTCTGTGCTCTGAAGAATTTAGGATTATCAACTTTAGTTTTAAAAAATTGCTGAAGCTGTGTCCTTCTAAGGGTAGGTATATAAAGTAACAATAGAGAATTGCAAAAGAAAGTATGCTAAGAGCTAACTTCACTGGGCCCAAATGCAGCTGTGAGAGATGCCCTGGTGCTAGGATCATAAAACGTAGGCTACCTTCAGTAGTTAATTATTTCTGGGTTCAATTCAGAGTGGTGGTTGAGACCACCCCCTTGGTCAGATCAGATGGACTTGGCTTTTCTTCTCTTCACACCATCAAGAAATACTCTCTCTCCCATCTGTTTACAAGGTTGGTGCTTTGGCAAATGGAAGGAATAGAAGTCTTGCTCCCTTTCCTCTCCAACTTTGGATGTGCTGCTTATTTCCCAGGGACTGCTTGCATCCTGGTACATTGCACAGCAGCACGCTAGGTGTTTGAGAAGGCAAGTAGGGGAGAGCTCCCATCCTTTCCCTCTGCTAGCAATTGTTAGTGAAGTGCAAACCCAGTAAGTGTTGTGAGCAGGAAGGAGAACATTTCTCTTACAGTTTAGATTTTAAGATGAACTTAGCTGGATGAGAATTTGGGGGTGGTATTTCTCTCCCTGTATTTAGGGTGAGCATTCCAAGTTCTACAAAGCCCTGTTTGCAAGCTCAGAAATACTTACTGGTGAGATCAGCAACAGCCTAGGATACTTCAAAATCCACCTGAGCCTTGATCAGTTTCACCTCTGTTACAAAGATATATGGATACATTGTCTTTTTACATGATGGTTCCAAAACTGCAGAACACTTTCCCTGGGGAAATTCATCACATGACTTTCTTCTTGCACTTATATGAGAAACCCCTGTTCCCACAAGCTTTCAATATTTAGACTTAAGTTATGTCTGAATTGTTTAATTGTTGAATTTTAATGCTGCAATTAGATTAGTATTAAGTATTGTTTTTATAATTTGTATTTCTTTTATATGATGTATTTTAAACATGTAATCTACCTGTATCTATTTACTGTTTTTAATGCAAAAGTGCAATTGTTATTTATTCAGTACAAGGTGCTGTAGCAGCTGGTTTGTGTGTGTGTGTGTGTGTGAAAAAGCTACCAAGGAGACTTGGGATTAGAGCCTTGCTCTTCCACACTCACGAGCCACTTCCTCACAAGTCCAGATTAATAGATGGCAATGCCTGAAGGTTATCGCTTATTACATAGAATCTTATTTCATTTCATCTTGAAGCCTTTTGTTTCTGTGCTGTTGAAGGCATAAACAATTAGGACCAGGTTATTTCAGGCATCACCTGTACATTTATTTGAACCTGTAATACTTCCCACCAGGTGGTTTCTTTTGGGGCAATAAGCCACCCTGACAACCTACGGCCTGTTCTACAAGTTGTTAAACCCACAATGGGTTGTCATGTTGTCTGAACCCAAGAGACCGATCCCATCATAGGTTGTGGGAAGCAGCAAGTACCCAATGCAGCAGGTGTGGCAAAATCCCCTTGTCATTCCGGGTAAGGTCACCAGTGCTGCCACCAGTGACAGCCACTGTACCAGTGCCCAAATGGCACTTAAGAGCCACTTTCACTGACTCCTTAACCTTTAAAAATGTACGATTTCATTTGTATTTTTTTCAAAAAAATTTAGTTCTTTAAAGTGCACACCTACAAAGGAACAAATACAGTAAAACCTTGGATTGTGAGTAACTTGGTCTGTGAGCGTTTTGCAAGATAAGCAAAAAGTTTTTCTAAATTTTAACTTGATAAACGAGCGATGTCTTGCAGTACAACTATTACACGTGCTTTGCCTGCCGAGCATCATGTCACAACTGAGCGCTGGTTCTTTTCTCTCTCACTGCAGGTATGAGTACAGCATCCCACCCCCCCAAGTGCGCCCGCAATCATGCCCATCTCCCCCGCCAGCGCACCCGCGATCATGCCTGCTTCCCCTCCAGTGCACTTACTTCAAATTTTTGTGATTTAAAAAAAAAAAAGTTACAGAACGGATTAACCTTGTTTACATTGAACCTTATGGGGTAATTCACTTTGATATACGAGTGCTTTGGATTACAAGCATGTTTCTGGAATGAATTATGCTTGCAATCCAAGGTTTTACTGTATGTGGAATCTGTTTTCAAAGTGCAGTAGGCAGTGTTCTTGGAAGTTTGCCAAGCAAGCCTGCATAAAGTCTGATTTGTGCATACTTGATAGCTGTCAATTGAGAAGTAAAATGGGAAAGATTTCCTTCCCAAATGGGTGGAGAGTACATCTCCCTCTTTCTGGTATGGTCCTTTAGTATTTATTTAATGTCATCCTAATCATTCTCAGTACTCTCAGATTTCCCCATTTCCCCAGTCTCTAGCTAATCCAGAAAGTGGAGATCTACAGTCCACTCCCTTTTTGCAAGCATTTTCTTTTGCAAGCATATATTTTCGTTTATCCTGTTCGGCAAATTTGTAGTGTTTTTCTG